AATGCGCACAATGTTCAGAAGAGAAATTTTGCTGATGAACCACGCAAATTTTTTGTCCCGAACAAATCTACCTTCATATATTTTTTGTAACGGTCTTCTCTCATGCTCTCAAATTCTTTTATAGGCAATATATGGCTACGGTTTACGAGGTCACCAAATTGCATTTAAATCAACAAATTTTCATTTTTTCCCATTCGATTTTAAGCTTTTAATTTTGCAAATTTCAAGAATCACCATAATTTTGGTTTACACGAAAAAAATACCTCTATCTGAAGTGTAGATTTTTCTATGGAACATTACGGACCATATAACTTTCACCAGATGCTGCTATCTGACTATAAGGACGTTGGTGTGTCTGTGGTCTACAGTATGGACTGTCGAGATCATTCACTGGTTCACTGAAAACTTTAGGTCTTTTTATAGTGTACTGAAATTACATATCAAAATACAATGATAATCCACAATACTAAGACTTTCCTCCTGCAGGAAATAGTTTGGAAAATTAATAAACCTTTACATGAAATAAGAAAATTTAGCTTTTAATATTCATTTTTTTTTTATCATGTACGAGTAATTGTATAAAGGTGTATGCTACCATTAAGAAATACTCAGAGCATTGACAATCTGGTCGACATCCTGCTTTTACTCACATCTTTGAATGAATCGATTTTCCCTAAAACCACTGGATCACTGAGATAAGGACTTGGGGGCCTAGACAATGTTTTCCTTGGTACATACATCGGTGACTCAAAAATGTATTTTCTTTGACTTCCAAATTGCTCATACATCTGTGACACAAATTATTCATATAATATTTTACCTGATTTTTGTATAAGTTTTTTATTTGATTAGCAAACTAAGAAGACTACTGCCGTATACCTTGTTCCTAACACTAAGACCTCCGGAATATCTGTACAGGTCTTTAGATTCTTCCATAGATATTTGGGAATTCAGCTCGTTAAGTTCAAATTCATTCTTTATGAAGTCTGCGTCACATTCTCCATATTTTTCCCTGAAAAGCAATACAGTAAATTTGTGTAGCATGGTACATTATGAAATGTAAACACCGAGTGACTATACGGATGTGTACTCTTTCGTTGTTCTTTTCAATTCTACAACACCAGATGATTTACATGAATGAAAGGGGGAGGGCAGAAACAATTTTTGGCACCTGTCAGTCTTCCTTGGCTTAGAGATACGTCTGCAGCACACAGTAAGTAAAACTATGAGTATCAATCCTCCAACGATACCGACAGACAGACCAACAACGTATTCAAATCTCCCAGTCTTCTCTTCACATTTGGGTCCGTAATAAATCGTCATTAAACTCTTTTGACATCTGTTGTTAAACAAAGATCAAGTTACCATTGTGTCATAAACAATCCCGAAATTGTTTTATTCTGTTATTCTAATCGAAGAAGGTCCCAATCAGTTATACATAAGAATAATTAGAAACGCCTCTTTAGGTTTCTGATTCATGGATAATTTTGTTCAAGAGTCTTAAGATTGTTGTGATAATTGCTAAATGTTTCGTAATAGCCTACTGACACGTACCTGCACACAGTCTGCTGAACTAGGGTGTCAAAATAGCAGTGTCCATTGTTCCTACAGCTCAACCCCGAGGTGGTACATTTATGGACACATTCAGCTGAGTAGTTTAACGCCCGACAGTCATATCCCGGAAAACAAAGTCGTCCCGTAGAAATAGCATCACACTCAGTTTTCCCTTTTAAAAGATAAACACGTTATGCAAGTATGATGAAATCAGTTCACACACAAATACTTACCCTCACCCCCTTATAAAAACACACACACACACACACAGAGAGAGAGAGAGAGAGAGAGAGAGAGAACCTTCTATTTGTTTGTGCAGGCTTTGTATAATTTCCTCTGGTTCTGTTTCATTTAAGACCTGTCCAGCAGTAGTATTCAGTTGTGTCAGATTGGATTTTATGTTTTCTTTGATTGCCTGTTCCAGCTCTCGCAAACTTTGTTGTTTACTTCTCAATTTTGCCACACTAATGTCAATGTCTATTCTAGCAGACGTATTCACCTTTGGTCTACAATAGACAGAGAGAAAGTAGGTAGGTATCAAAACGTAATAAAAAGATGTAAAAAAAAAACCGTTTAAATTTAATAAAAATCTCAGAGAAAAGTACACTTAGTGGACTGCCTTGCTTGAATTTCATAATACTGTACTATATCCTTGTTTTTCCTGATTTTTTAGACTATTAAACCAACAGAATCTTTGGGTAATGAAGTGCGGTTCTAAAACAAGTTATCACTATGACGTTAGATTTGTACTTCACTTGGTTTAGTTATGAAATATAAAAATACATGTAACAAACTGTAATCAAGATCAAAATTCCATTGCAACAATACAAATTGTGAGCAGAGGAAAATAACCTCTAAAAACATCAGAGGTGGGATCAGGTACCAGAAAGGAGTAAGCATTCTCTTTCGACCGCGGTCACACCCGCCATGTGCTCCTTGCCATCACCAGGTTTACAGAAAAATCCGCAGACAATTCAATGTGAAATTAATTTTCGAAAATATAAATATCAAACTTAAAGCTTGAGTAGATTTTGTCCACACAACAACAATAAAACTATATGCATATACTCTAAAGTCCAGTTTTCGACAGTATTGGTGCCATCAGTTCGAAGATGAATATTTCGTTTTCGCCTGCTTTTGGCGTTTGTTATAGAAATTCTAGAATGTGAAAAAGTGCAAAATGTATATCGTAAATCTGAGATTATGAAAAATTAAGATAAATAAACATGCATAGTAAATATATTTATTTTACTTTTTTCGAGTCAATGAATTGTTGTTGTGAAATGTATTAGGTAGTTACCTTACATGTATATCATCAATTACATCTTCGAACCCACAGAATATATATTTGTTCATCTACAAAGAAATCATTCATAAATTCACGCTTCATTCATATTTATTTTTCATGTGTACATTTATTTGTATGCTCCTGTTCTTTATTTGGTATTATCAACCATGTATCACAGTTGTGATCACCTGTCGTTTCAGGGATTCATTGAAGTTAGTACTGCTAAAAACGTCACCGCTAAACATAAATATGAAATGGATCTGGAACACAGCCCCTGCAACTGAAAATAAAGAAGCATAGGAATTGAAAATACAGTTAAATACAGGTTCATATACAAAGTACTTATTTTCTTTTTTAAAAAAAATTCCGGTGAATTGAAAAAAAAAAAATTTTATGACTAACATCAATTTTGTTTCCAAATATTTATAATACTAAAATATGTACAAAGTAGTGTAATTGTATTAGCTTTTGTATTCTTAGAAAATCTTTTCTTTTTTTTTTATTTACAGGTTGTGATCCATCTCATATATACATGTTTTATCGTGTAATGGCGTCTATATATACAGAGTAAATGAAAATTGAAAATAAACATCTCATTCGGAATATATAACTTCCTATCTATCCGTAAGTATAAAAAAGTCGGAAACCTAATGAATATTATAATTATGTTTTCCCTAAATATGCACATACGTATATCATTAGTTTCGAAATACAGGGTTTTTCATAATACATGTATCTGTCTCTATTAGAGTTGCCTGTAAAATCTTTAATAATGTTTATCATATTTTAGAAAACGAAACATTATTCTAAAGACGAAAACAATTTAACATCTTAGGAAAATTAAGATTTTTTTTTCAACGTAATGATGTCACAGATAACGTCATAAAAACACTGAATTTTTTATGTTTCTGTCTAGTGAACAAAGTATTGAAGTGATTCAGTTCACCAACTAACTGTTATTAGGATGATTCAGGATGATTCAAAGATATATCCAAATCAGTCAGGAAAAAACATTAAAATAGATTTGATGTCTTGTAAAAAAAAAAAAAAAAATTGAGAATACAACGATAATTAGAATGATTTGTGCTGCAGTGATCTGAACCTTATAGACATCGCGTTTATGGGAGCTGAATGGGGTTTTATTGTGTGAAAACTACAATAGAAAAACTCTTTAATTTTATATCATATGTAACTGACATTGAATTCAATATACATGCCAAGTTTGGGGAAAATCTGTCGTCTGGGTATTTTTTAGAAACTGTCTCAAAATACAGGTACATTTACCATAGGATTATGCAGGAAAGTGCTAGTTTTTTGCACTTCAAAGCAAATTTTACAAATACTACAATAGACATTTTGATCAAATAATAATATATGAATAGTAATACAATATTGTAAATTATATGTAAAAAACACAAAATTCTATCTTGGTTTCCAGAATGTAAAGATTTACTAAATTTTCCTGTGTTATGGAGTACTACAAAATATATCTCAGATACTAATGAATTATACAAAAATATCAGAAAATGATTTTGAGGTTTTCAAATTGTCTGTGTTTAAAATTTCACGAACATTTGTTTTAAACGTTTTCTTTATAACATTTTTATGACCCCCATTTAAAGAACATTTCATCATAACGTCACAAACACACTATTACGACATCCATATCTACATATCGGTTGAAAAGTCGTTAAAATCAGTTTGTTTGTTTGTTTTTTTTAATTGTAATTAGTATTGCTCAATGAAAACCCCATTCGGCCCCTTAACTTTTTGTAATCAAAGAGAACTTCATTTACAACGCATTATGAAAAGCATGCGCTTTTTTAAGGAACTTAACCGAAGTAATATTGTGAAATAAAATTACAAATGCATCTACCAGGAAAAAAATGTTGAATTTAAATTTTCTGAATTTATTTAAACCTTCTAAATAAATCAATCTGTTTGTAAAGGGGAGAGATATTATAAAACACCCCGTATTTATTACAACAAGAGAGCATTTTAAAAATTAATTACGAAGGCCAATTTCGTATTACAATTTTTTTTTTAAAAAAATGTGCACATATCCGACCATAATAAACTGCAGTTTTTCCAAATCTGTCTCTTTGTATCTATAGAGAGAGAAAATTAATAAAAAAGTATCATCTGCAAAAATGCATATCTAACCAATAATGGGTTCCACGGGGATTACATTATTTCCTGGACCACCTTGAGGTAATGTATCAGTAGTTGTTTCTATAGAAGGAGTTGTCGTATTTTTTGTTGTTTCTGTTGTAGGAATTATAACAACACTTGTTGTTTTTGTCGAAAGAGTTGTTGTATCACTTAATGTTTCTGTTGTTGAAGTTGTGGTATCACTTGTTGTTTCTGACGTAAGAGTTGAAGTATCATTTGTTTTTTCTGTTGTAGTAGTTGTGGTGTTACTTGTTTTTTCTGTTGCAAGAATTGTTGTATAACTTGTTGTTTTTGTTGTTAAAGTTATAATATCACTTTGTGTTTTTGATGTAGGATTGGCAGTAACAATTGTTGTTTCTGTTGTAGGAACTGAAGTATTACTTGTTGATTTTGTTGCAAGAATATTAGTAGCACTTGTTGATTCTGTTGTAGAAGTTAAAATATCACTTGTTTCTGTTGTAGGAGTCAAAGTAAAAGTTGTTATTTCTATTGTTGAAGATGTAGTATCACTTGTGTTTCTTATAGGAGATGCAGTATGACTTGTTATTTCTGTTTTAAGAGTTGTTGTATAACTTGTTGTTTCTGTTGTAAGACTTGTATTATCACTTGCTGTTTCTTTTGTAGTTCTAATAGAATTGCTTGATGTTTCTACTGTTGTAGTTGAATTATCACTTGTTGTTTTTTTTGTAGGAGTTAAAATAATATTTGTTTTTTCTGTTGTAGAAGATGCAGAATCACTTCTTATGGTTGTTGTAGGAGATGGTGCATGACTCGTTTTCTCAGTTGTAGGAGCTGTAGTATTACGTGTAGATTCTGTTGGAGGAGTTGTAGTACCAATTGCTGTTTCTGTTGTAGAAAATGCAGTATCATTTGTTGTGTTTGTTGTATGACTTGTTGTTTCAGTTGTAGGAGTATCACTTGATGTTTCTATTGAAAGAGTGGTAATGTCACTGACTGCTTCTGTTGCAGAAGTTGTTGCATCACTTGTTGTTTCTGTTGTAGGACTTGTAGTAACAGAATTTGGTTTTAATGAAGAAGATGAAGTATCACTTGTGTTTCTTGTTGGAGACATAGAATGAGTTGTTGTTTCTATTAAAGGGGTTGTTAAATCGCTTAATGTTTCTGCTGTTGGGGTTGTAGAATCACATGTTGTTTCTGTTGTAAGGGTTATAGTATTATTTGTTGTTTCTGCTGGAGAAATTGTGGTATCACTTGTTGTTTCTGTTGGTAAATTTTAGTTTCTCTTGTTGTTTGTATTGTAGGATTGGTAGTAACAATTGTTTTTTCTGTTACAGGAATTAAAGAATTACTTGTTTTTGGTGTAGGAGTAATAGTATCACTTGTTGTTTCTGCTGTAAAAATTAAAATATCACTTGTTGTTTTTGTTTTCAGGGTTGTTGTATCACTTGTAGTTTCTGTTGTAGTAGTTAGGGTATCACTTAATTCTTTTGTAGTAGTTAGAATATCACTTGTTTCTGTTGTACGAGAAAAAGTAACAGTTGTTATTTCTGCTATTGATGATGAAGTATCATTTGTTGTGTTTGTGGTAGGAGATGCAGAATGACTTGTTCCTGTTGTAAGAGTTGTAGTATCACTTGTTGTTTCTCTTGTAGGCGTTGTAGTATCACTTCTTGTTTCTACTGTAGGAGTTTTTGAATAAATTGTTGTTTCCAAGGTAGTAGTTGTAGTATCCCTTGTTGTTTCCGTCGTAGGAAATGCAGTGTCGCTTGTTTCAGTTTTAGTATAAATAGCATCACTACTTGTTTCAGTTGTAGTAGTTGCTGTATCACTTGTTGTTTCTGTTCTCAGGGTTGTTATTTCACTTGTTAATTCTGTTTTCAGAGTTGTAGTATCACTTGTTGATTTTGTTGTAGAAATTAAAGTAGCACTTGTTTCTATTGTAGGAATTGAAGTAATAGTTGTTATTCCTGTTGCTGAAGATGTAGTACCACTTGTTATGCTTGATGTAGGAGATATTGCATGACTTGTTGTTTCAGTTGTAGGAGCTATAGTATTACTTGTTATTTCTGTTGTAAGAGTTGTAGCAGCTACACTTGGTGTTTCTGATGTAGGAGTTGTTGAATCACTAGTAGTTTCTGTTGCAGGATTTGCAGCAATTTTTGTTGTTTCTGTTGTAGGAGTTGTAGTATCACTTGCTGTTTCTCTCGTAGGCGTTGTAGTATCACTTCTTCTTTCTACTGTAGGAGTTTTTGAATAAATTGTTGTTTCCAAGGTAGTAGTTGTAGTATCCCTTGTTGTTTCCGTCGTAGGAAATGCAGTGTCGCTTGTTTCAGTTTTAGTATAAATAGCATCACTACTTGTTTCAGTTGTAGTAGTTGCTGTATCACTTGTTGTTTCTGTTCTCAGGGTTGTTATTTCACTTGTTAATTCTGTTTTCAGAGTTGTAGTATCACTTGTTGATTTTGTTGTAGAAATTAAAGTAGCACTTGTTTCTATTGTAGGAATTGAAGTAACAGTTGTTATTCCTGTTGCTGAAGATGTAGTACCACTTGTTATGCTTGATGTAGGAGATATTGCATGACTTGTTGTTTCAGTTGTAGGAGCTATAGTATTACTTGTTATTTCTGTTGTAAGAGTTGTAGCAGCTACACTTGGTGTTTCTGATGTAGGAGTTGTTGAATCACTAGTAGTTTCTGTTGCAGGATTTGCAGCAATTTTTGTTGTTTCTGTTGTAGGAGTTGTAGTATCACTTGCTGTTTCTCTCGTAGGCGTTGTAGTATCACTTCTTCTTTCTACTGTAGGAGTTTTTGAATAAATTGTTGTTTCCAAGGTAGTAGTTGTAGTATCCCTTGTTGTTTCCGTCGTAGGAAATGCAGTGTCGCTTGTTTCAGTTTTAGTATAAATAGCATCACTACTTGTTTCAGTTGTAGTAGTTGCTGTATCACTTGTTGTTTCTGTTCTCAGGGTTGTTATTTCACTTGTTAATTCTGTTTTCAGAGTTGTAGTATCACTTGTTGATTTTGTTGTAGAAATTAAAGTAGCACTTGTTTCTATTGTAGGAATTGAAGTAACAGTTGTTATTCCTGTTGCTGAAGATGTAGTACCACTTGTTATGCTTGATGTAGGAGATATTGCATGACTTGTTGTTTCAGTTGTAGGAGCTATAGTATTACTTGTTATTTCTGTTGTAAGAGTTGTAGCAGCTACACTTGGTGTTTCTGATGTAGGAGTTGTTGAATCACTTGTAGTTTCTGTTGCAGGATTTGCAGCAACTTTTGTTGTTTCTGTTGTAGGAGTTGTAGTATCACTTGCTGTTTCTCTCGTAGGCGTTGTAGTATCACTTCTTGTTTCTACTGTAGGAGTTTTTGAATAAATTGTTGTTTCCAAGGTAGTAGTTGTAGTATCCCTTGTTGTTTCCGTCGTAGGAAATGCAGTGTCGCTTGTTTCAGTTTTAGTATAAATAGCATCACTACTTGTTTCAGTTGTAGTAGTTGCTGTATCACTTGTTGTTTCTGTTCTCAGGGTTGTTATTTCACTTGTTAATTCTGTTTTCAGAGTTGTAGTATCACTTGTTGATTCTGTTGTAGAAATTAAAGTAGCACTTGTTTCTATTGTAGGAATTGAAGTAATAGTTGTTATTCCTGTTGCTGAAGATGTAGTACCACTTGTTATGCTTGATGTAGGAGATATTGCATGACTTGTTGTTTCAGTTGTAGGAGCTATAGTATTACTTGTTATTTCTGTTGTAAGAGTTGTAGCAGCTACACTTGGTGTTTCTGATGTAGGAGTTGTTGAATCACTAGTAGTTTCTGTTGCAGGATTTGCAGCAATTTTTGTTGTTTCTGTTGTAGGAGTTGTAGTATCACTTGCTGTTTCTCTCGTAGGCGTTGTAGTATCACTTCTTCTTTCTACTGTAGGAGTTTTTGAATAAATTGTTGTTTCCAAGGTAGTAGTTGTAGTATCCCTTGTTGTTTCCGTCGTAGAAAATGCAGTGTCGCTTGTTTCAGTTTTAGTATAAATAGCATCACTACTTGTTTCAGTTGTAGTAGTTGCTGTATCACTTGTTGTTTCTGTTCTCAGGGTTGTTATTTCACTTGTTAATTCTGTTTTCAGAGTTGTAGTATCACTTGATGATTCTGTTGTAGAAATTAAAGTAGCACTTGTTTCTATTGTAGGAATTGAAGTAACAGTTGTTATTCCTGTTGCTGAAGATGTAGTACCACTTGTTATGCTTGATGTAGGAGATATTGCATGTCTTGTTGTTTCAGTTGTAGGAGCTATAGTATTACTTGTTATTTCTGTTGTAAGAGTTGTAGCAGCTACACTTGGTGTTTCTGATGTAGGAGTTGTTGAATCACTTGTAGTTTCTGTTGCAGGATTTGCAGCAACTTTTGTTGTTTCTGTTGTAGGAGTTGTAGTATCACTTGCTGTTTCTCTCGTAGGCGTTGTAGTATCACTTCTTGTTTCTACTGTAGGAGTTTTTGAATAAATTGTTGTTTCCAAGGTAGTAGTTGTAGTATCCCTTGTTGTTTCCGTCGTAGGAAATGCAGTGTCGCTTGTTTCAGTTTTAGTATAAATAGCATCACAACTTGTTTCAGTTGTAGTAGTTGCTGTATCACTTGTTGTTTCTGTTCTCAGGGTTGTTATTTCACTTGTTAATTCTGTTTTCAGAGTTGTAGTATCACTTGATGATTCTGTTGTAGAAATTAAAGTAGCACTTGTTTCTATTGTAGGAATTGAAGTAACAGTTGTTATTCCTGTTGCTGAAGATGTAGTACCACTTGTTATGCTTGATGTAGGAGATATTGCATGTCTTGTTGTTTCAGTTGTAGGAGCTATAGTATTACTTGTTATTTCTGTTGTAAGAGTTGTAGCAGCTACACTTGGTGTTTCTGATGTAGGAGTTGTTGAATCACTTGTAGTTTCTGTTGCAGGATTTGCAGCAACTTTTGTTGTTTCTGTTGTAGGAGTTGTAGTATCACTTGCTGTTTCTCTCGTAGGCGTTGTAGTATCACTTCTTCTTTCTACTGTAGGAGTTTTTGAATAAATTGTTGTTTCCAAGGTAGTAGTTGTAGTATCCCTTGTTGTTTCCGTCGTAGGAAATGCAGTGTCGCTTGTTTCAGTTTTAGTATAAATAGCATCACTACTTGTTTCAGTTGTAGTAGTTGCTGTATCACTTGTTGTTTCTGTTCTCAGGGTTGTTATTTCACTTGTTAATTCTGTTTTCAGAGTTGTAGTATCACTTGATGATTCTGTTGTAGAAATTAAAGTAGCACTTGTTTCTGTTGTAGGAATTGAAGTAACAGTTGTTATTCCTGTTGCTGAAGATGTAGTACCACTTGTTATGCTTGATGTAGGAGATATTGCATGACTTGTTGTTTCAGTTGTAGGAGCTATAGTATTACTTGTTATTTCTGTTGTAAGAGTTGTAACAGCTACACTTGGTGTTTCTGATGTAGGAGTTGTTGAATCACTTGTAGTTTCTGTTGCAGGATTTGCAGCAACTTTTGTTGTTTCTGTTGTAGGAGTTGTAGTATCACTTGCTGTTTCTCTCGTAGGCGTTGTAGTATCACTTCTTCTTTCTACTGTAGGAGTTTTTGAATAAATTGTTGTTTCCAAGGTAGTAATTGTAGTATCCCTTGTCGTTTCCGTCGTAGGAAATGCAGTGTCGCTTGTTTCAGTTTTAGTATAAATAGCATCACTACTTGTTTCAGTTGTAGTAGTTGCTGTATCACTTGTTGTTTCTGTTCTCAGGGTTGTTATTTCACTTGTTAATTCTGTTTTCAGAGTTGTAGTATCACTTGATGATTCTGTTGTAGAAATTAAAGTAGCACTTGTTTCTATTGTAGGAATTGAAGTAACAGTTGTTATTCCTGTTGCTGAAGATGTAGTACCACTTGTTATGCTTGATGTAGGAGATATTGCATGTCTTGTTGTTTCAGTTGTAGGAGCTATAGTATTACTTGTTATTTCTGTTGTAAGAGTTGTAGCAGCTACACTTGGTGTTTCTGATGTAGGAGTTGTTGAATCACTTGTAGTTTCTGTTGCAGGATTTGCAGCAACTTTTGTTGTTTCTGTTGTAGGAGTTGTAGTATCACTTGCTGTTTCTCTCGTAGGCGTTGTAGTATCACTTCTTGTTTCTACTGTAGGAGTTTTTGAATAAATTGTTGTTTCCAAGGTAGTAGTTGTAGTATCCCTTGTTGTTTCCGTCGTAGGAAATGCAGTGTCGCTTGTTTCAGTTTTAGTATAAATAGCATCACTACTTGTTTCAGTTGTAGTAGTTGCTGTATCACTTGTTGTTTCTGTTCTCAGGGTTGTTATTTCACTTGTTAATTCTGTTTTCAGAGTTGTAGTATCACTTGATGATTCTGTTGTAGAAATTAAAGTAGCACTTGTTTCTATTGTAGGAATTGAAGTAACAGTTGTTATTCCTGTTGCTGAAGATGTAGTACCACTTGTTATGCTTGATGTAGGAGATATTGCATGTCTTGTTGTTTCAGTTGTAGGAGCTATAGTATTACTTGTTATTTCTGTTGTAAGAGTTGTAGCAGCTACACTTGGTGTTTCTGATGTAGGAGTTGTTGAATCACTTGTAGTTTCTGTTGCAGGATTTGCAGCAACTTTTGTTGTTTCTGTTGTAGGAGTTGTAGTATCACTTGCTGTTTCTCTCGTAGGCGTTGTAGTATCACTTCTTGTTTCTACTGTAGGAGTTTTTGAATAAATTGTTGTTTCCAAGGTAGTAGTTGTAGTATCCCTTGTTGTTTCCGTCGTAGGAAATGCAGTGTCGCTTGTTTCAGTTTTAGTATAAATAGCATCACTACTTGTTTCAGTTGTAGTAGTTGCTGTATCACTTGTTGTTTCTGTTCTCAGGGTTGTTATTTCACTTGTTAATTCTGTTTTCAGAGTTGTAGTATCACTTGATGATTCTGTTGTAGAAATTAAAGTAGCACTTGTTTCTGTTGTAGGAATTGAAGTAACAGTTGTTATTCCTGTTGCTGAAGATGTAGTACCACTTGTTATGCTTGATGTAGGAGATATTGCATGTCTTGTTGTTTCAGTTGTAGGAGCTATAGTATTACTTGTTATTTCTGTTGTAAGAGTTGTAGCAGCTACACTTGGTGTTTCTGATGTAGGAGTTGTTGAATCACTTGTAGTTTCTGTTGCAGGATTTGCAGCAACTTTTGTTGTTTCTGTTGTAGGAGTTGTAGTATCACTTGCTGTTTCTCTCGTAGGCGTTGTAGTATCACTTCTTGTTTCTACTGTAGGAGTTTTTGAATAAATTGTTGTTTCCAAGGTAGTAGTTGTAGTATCCCTTGTTGTTTCCGTCGTAGGAAATGCAGTGTCGCTTGTTTCAGTTTTAGTATAAATAGCATCACTACTTGTTTCAGTTGTAGTAGTTGCTGTATCACTTGTTGTTTCTGTTCTCAGGGTTGTTATTTCACTTGTTAATTCTGTTTTCAGAGTTGTAGTATCACTTGATGATTCTGTTGTAGAAATTAAAGTAGCACTTGTTTCTGTTGTAGGAATTGAAGTAACAGTTGTTATTCCTGTTGCTGAAGATGTAGTACCACTTGTTATGCTTGATGTAGGAGATATTGCATGTCTTGTTGTTTCAGTTGTAGGAGCTATAGTATTACTTGTTATTTCTGTTGTAAGAGTTGTAGCAGCTACACTTGGTGTTTCTGATGTAGGAGTTGTTGAATCACTTGTAGTTTCTGTTGCAGGATTTGCAGCAACTTTTGTTGTTTCTGTTGTAGGAGTTGTAGTATCACTTGCTGTTTCTCTCGTAGGCGTTGTAGTATCACTTCTTGTTTCTACTGTAGGAGTTTTTGAATAAATTGTTGTTTCCAAGGTAGTAGTTGTAGTATCCCTTGTTGTTTCCGTCGTAGGAAATGCAGTGTCGCTTGTTTTAGTTTTAGTATAAATAGCATCACTACTTGTTTCAGTTGTAGTAGTTGCTGTATCACTTGTTGTTTCTGTTCTCAGGGTTGTTATTTCACTTGTTAATTCTGTTTTCAGAGTTGTAGTATCACTTGTTGATTCTGTTGTAGAAATTAAAGTAGCACTTGTTTCTATTGTAGGAATTGAAGTAATAGTTGTTATTCCTGTTGCTGAAGATGTAGTACCACTTGTTATGCTTGATGTAGGAGATATTGCATGACTTGTTGTTTCAGTTGTAGGAGCTATAGTATTACTTGTTATTTCTGTTGTAAGAGTTGTAGCAGCTACACTTGGTGTTTCTGATGTAGGAGTTGTTGAATCACTTGTAGTTTCTGTTGCAGGATTTGCAGCAACTTTTGTTGTTTCTGTTGTAGGAGTTGTAGTATCACTTGCTGTTTCTCTCGTAGGCGTTGTAGTATCACTTCTTGTTTCTACTGTAGGAGTTTTTGAATAAATTGTTGTTTCCAAGGTAGTAATTGTAGTATCCCTTGTGTTTCCGTCGTAGGAAATGCAGTGTCGCTTGTTTCAGTTTTAGTATAAATAGCATCACTACTTGTTTCAGTTGTAGTAGTTGCTGTATCACTTGTTGTTTCTGTTCTCAGGGTTGTTATTTCACTTGTTAATTCTGTTTTCAGAGTTGTAGTATCACTTGATGATTCTGTTGTAGAAATTAAAGTAGCACTTGTTTCTATTGTAGGAATTGAAGTAACAGTTGTTATTCCTGTTGCTGAAGATGTAGTACCACTTGTTATGCTTGATGTAGGAGATATTGCATGTCTTGTTGTTTCAGTTGTAGGAGCTATAGTATTACTTGTTATTTCTGTTGTAAGAGTTGTAGCAGCTACACTTGGTGTTTCTGATGTAGGAGTTGTTGAATCACTTGTAGTTTCTGTTGCAGGATTTGCAGCAACTTTTGTTGTTTCTGTTGTAGGAGTTGTAGTATCACTTGCTGTTTCTCTCGTAGGCGTTGTAGTATCACTTCTTGTTTCTACTGTAGGAGTTTTTGAATAAATTGTTGTTTCCAAGGTAGTAGTTGTAGTATCCCTTGTTGTTTCCGTCGTAGGAAATGCAGTGTCGCTTGTTTCAGTTTTAGTATAAATAGCATCACTACTTGTTTCAGTTGTAGTAGTTGCTGTATCACTTGTTGTTTCTGTTCTCAGGGTTGTTATTTCACTTGTTAATTCTGTTTTCAGAGTTGTAGTATCACTTGATGATTCTGTTGTAGAAATTAAAGTAGCACTTGTTTCTGTTGTAGGAATTGAAGTAACAGTTGTTATTCCTGTTGCTGAAGATGTAGTACCACTTGTTATGCTTGATGTAGGAGATATTGCATGTCTTGTTGTTTCAGTTGTAGGAGCTATAGTATTACTTGTTATTTCTGTTGTAAGAGTTGTAGCAGCTACACTTGGTGTTTCTGATGTAGGAGTTGTTGAATCACTTGTAGTTTCTGTTGCAGGATTTGCAGCAACTTTTGTTGTTTCTGTTGTAGGAGTTGTAGTATCACTTGCTGTTTCTCTCGTAGGCGTTGTAGTATCACTTCTTGTTTCTACTGTAGGAGTTTTTGAATAAATTGTTGTTTCCAAGGTAGTAGTTGTAGTATCCCTTGTTGTTTCCGTCGTAGGAAATGCAGTGTCGCTTGTTTCAGTTTTAGTATAAATAGCATCACTACTTGTTTCAGTTGTAGTAGTTGCTGTATCACTTGTTGTTTCTGTTCTCAGGGTTGTTATTTCACTTGTTAATTCTGTTTTCAGAGTTGTAGTATCACTTGATGATTCTGTTGTAGAAATTAAAGTAGCACTTGTTTCTGTTGTAGGAATTGAAGTAACAGTTGTTATTCCTGTTGCTGAAGATGTAGTACCACTTGTTATGCTTGATGTAGGAGATATTGCATGTCTTGTTGTTTCAGTTGTAGGAGCTATAGTATTACTTGTTATTTCTGTTGTAAGAGTTGTAGCAGCTACACTTGGTGTTTCTGATGTAGGAGTTGTTGAATCACTTGTAGTTTCTGTTGCAGGATTTGCAGCAACTTTTGTTGTTTCTGTTGTAGGAGTTGTAGTATCACTTGCTGTTTCTCTCGTAGGCGTTGTAGTATCACTTCTTGTTTCTACTGTAGGAGTTTTTGAATAAATTGTTGTTTCCAAGGTAGTAGTTGTAGTATCCCTTGTTGTTTCCGTCGTAGGAAATGCAGTGTCGCTTGTTTTAGTTTTAGTATAAATAGCATCACTACTTGTTTCAGTTGTAGTAGTTGCTGTATCACTTGTTGTTTCTGTTCTCAGGGTTGTTATTTCACTTGTTAATTCTGTTTTCAGAGTTGTAGTATCACTTGTTGATTCTTTTGTAGAAATTAAAGTAGCACTTGTTTCTATTGTAGGAATTGAAGTAACAGTTGTTATTCCTGTTGCTGAAGATGTAGTACCACTTGTTATGCTTGATGTAGGAGATATTGCATGACTTGTTGTTTCAGTTGTAGGAGCTATAGTATTACTTGTTATTTCTGTTGTAAGAGTTGTAGCAGCTACACTTGGTGTTTCTGATGTAGGAGTTGTTGAATCACTTGTAGTTTCTGTTGCAGGATTTGCAGCAACTTTTGTTGTTTCTGTTGTAGGAGTTGTAGTATCACTTGCTGTTTCTCTCGTAGGCGTTGTAGTATCACTTCTTGTTTCTACTGTAGGAGTTTTTGAATAAATTGTTGTTTCCAAGGTAGTAATTGTAGTATCCCTTGTCGTTTCCGTCGTAGGAAATGCAGTGTCGCTTGTTTCAGTTTTAGTATAAATAGCATCACTACTTGTTTCAGTTGTAGTAGTTGCTGTATCACTTGTTGTTTCTGTTCTCAGGGTTGTTATTTCACTTGTTAATTCTGTTTTCAGAGTTGTAGTATCACTTGATGATTCTGTTGTAGAAATTAAAGTAGCACTTGTTTCTGTTGTAGGAATTGAAGTAACAGTTGTTATTCCTGTTGCTGAAGATGTAGTACCACTTGTTATGCTTGATGTAGGAGATATTGCATGTCTTGTTGTTTCAGTTGTAGGAGCTATAGTATTACTTGTTATTTCTGTTGTAAGAGTTGTAGCAACTACACTTGGTGTTTCTGATGTAGGAGTTGTTGAATCACTTGTAGTTTCTGTTGCAGGATTTGCAGCAACTTTTGTTGTTTCTGTTGTAGGAGTTGTAGTATCACTTGCTGTTTCTCTCGTAGGCGTTGTAGTATCACTTCTTGTTTCTACTGTAGGAGTTTTTGAATAAATTGTTGTTTCCAAGGTAGTAGTTGTAGTATCCCTTGTTGTTTCCGTCGTAGGAAATGCAGTGTCGCTTGTTTCAGTTTTAGTATAAATAGCATCACTACTTGTTTCAGTTGTAGTAGTTGCTGTATCACTTGTTGTTTCTGTTCTCAGGGTTGTTATTTCACTTGTTAATTCTGTTTTCAGAGTTGTAGTATCACTTGTTGATTCTGTTGTAGAAATTAAAGTAGCACTTGTTTCTATTGTAGGAATTGAAGTAATAGTTGTTATTCCTGTTGCTGAAGATGTAGTACCACTTGTTATGCTTGATGTAGGAGATATTGCATGACTTGTTGTTTCAGTTGTAGGAGCTATAGTATTACTTGTTATTTCTGTTGTAAGAGTTGTAGCAGCTACACTTGGTGTTTCTGATGTAGGAGTTGTTGAATCACTTGTAGTTTCTGTTGCAGGATTTGCAGCAACTTTTGTTGTTTCTGTTGTAGGAGTTGTAGTATCACTTGCTGTTTCTCTCGTAGGCGTTGTAGTATCACTTCTTGTTTCTACTGTAGGAGTTTTTGAATAAATTGTTGTTTCCAAGGTAGTAATTGTAGTATCCCTTGTCGTTTCCGTCGTAGGAAATGCAGTGTCGCTTGTTTCAGTTTTAGTATAAATAGCATCACTACTTGTTTCAGTTGTAGTAGTTGCTGTATCACTTGTTGTTTCTGTTCTCAGGGTTGTTATTTCACTTGTTAATTCTGTTTTCAGAGTTGTAGTATCACTTGATGATTCTGTTGTAGAAATTAAAGTAGCACTTGTTTCTGTTGTAGGAATTGAAGTAACAGTTGTTATTCCTGTTGCTGAAGATGTAGTACCACTTGTTATGCTTGATGTAGGAGATATTGCATGACTTGTTGTTTCAGTTGTAGGAGCTATAGTATTACTTGTTATATCTGTTGTAAGAGTTGTAACAGCTACACTTGGTGTTTCTGATGTAGGAGTTGTTGAATCACTTGTAGTTTCTGTTGCAGGATTTGCAGCAACTTTTGTTGTTTCTGTTGTAGGAGTTGTAGTATCACTTGCTGTTTCTCTCGTAGGCGTTGTAGTATCACTTCTTGTTTCTACTGTAGGAGTTTTTGAATAAATTGTTGTTTCCAAGGTAGTAGTTGTAGTATCCCTTGTTGTTTCCGTCGTAGGAAATGCAGTGTCGCTTGTTTCAGTTTTAGTATAAATAGCATCACTACTTGTTTCAGTTGTAGTAGTTGCTGTATCACTTGTTGTTTCTGTTCTCAGGGTTGTTATTTCACTTGTTAATTCTGTTTTCAGAGTTGTAGTATCACTTGTTGATTTTGTTGTAGAAATTAAAGTAGCACTTGTTTCTATTGTAGGAATTGAAGTAATAGTTGTTATTCCTGTTGCTGAAGATGTAGTACCACTTGTTATGCTTGATGTAGGAGATATTGCATGACTTGTTGTTTCAGTTGTAGGAGCTATAGTATTACTTGTTATTTCTGTTGTAAGAGTTGTAGCAGCTACACTTGGTGTTTCTGATGTAGGAGTTGTTGAATCACTAGTAGTTTCTGTTGCAGGATTTGCAGCAATTTTTGTTGTTTCTGTTGTAGGAGTTGTAGTATCACTTGCTGTTTCTCTCGTAGGCGTTGTAGTATCACTTCTTGTTTCTACTGTAGGAGTTTTTGAATAAATTGTTGTTTCCAAGGTAGTAGTTGTAGTATCCCTTCTCGTTTCCGTCGTAGGAAATGCAGTGTCGCTTGTTTCAGTTTTAGTATAAATAGCATCACTACTTGTTTCAGTTGTAGTAGTTGCTGTATCACTTGTTGTTTCTGTTCTCAGGGTTGTTATTTCACTTGTTAATTCTGTTTTCAGAGTTGTAGTATCACTTGATGATTCTGTTGTAGAAATTAAAGTAGCACTTGTTTCTGTTGTAGGAATTGAAGTAACAGTTGTTATTCCTGTTGCTGAAGATGTAGTACCACTTGTTATGCTTGATGTAGGAGATATTGCATGTCTTGTTGTTTCAGTTGTAGGAGCTATAGTATTACTTGTTATTTCTGTTGTAAGAGTTGTAGCAGCTACACTTGGTGTTTCTGATGTAGGAGTTGTTGAATCACTTGTAGTTTCTGTTGCAGGATTTGCAGCAACTTTTGTTGTTTCTGTTGTAGGAGTTGTAGTATCACTTGCTGTTTCTCTCGTAGGCGTTGTAGTATCACTTCTTGTTTCTACTGTAGGAGTTTTTGAATAAATTGTTGTTTCCAAGGTAGTAGTTGTAGTATCCCTTGTTGTTTCCGTCGTAGGAAATGCAGTGTCGCTTGTTTCAGTTTTAGTATAAATAGCATCACTACTTGTTTCAGTTGTAGTAGTTGCTGTATCACTTGTTGTTTCTGTTCTCAGGGTTGTTATTTCACTTGTTAATTCTGTTTTCAGAGTTGTAATATCACTTGTTGATTCTGTTGTAGAAATTAAAGTAGCACTTGTTTCTATTGTAGGAATTGAAGTAATAGTTGTTATTCCTGTTGCTGAAGATGTAGTACCACTTGTTATGCTTGATGTAGGAGATATTGCATGACTTGTTGTTTCAGTTGTAGGAGCTATAGTATTACTTGTTATTTCTGTTGTAAGAGTTGTAGCAGCTACACTTGGTGTTTCTGATGTAGGAGTTGTTGAATCACTTGTAGTTTCTGTTGCAGGATTTGCAGCAACTTTTGTTGTTTCTGTTGTAGGAGTTGTAGTATCACTTGCTGTTTCTCTCGTAGGCGTTGTAGTATCACTTCTTGTTTCTACTGTAGGAGTTTTTGAATAAATTGTTGTTTCCAAGGTAGTAGTTGTAGTATCCCTTGTCGTTTCCGTCGTAGGAAATGCAGTGTCGCTTGTTTCAGTTTTAGTATAAATAGCATCACTACTTGTTTCAGTTGTAGTAGTTGCTGCATCACTTGTTGTTTCTGTTCTCAGGGTTGTTATTTCACTTGTTAATTCTGTTTTCAGAGTTGTAGTATCACTTGATGATTCTGTTGTAGAAATTAAAGTAGCACTTGTTTCTATTGTAGGAATTGAAGTAACAGTTGTTATTCCTGTTGCTGAAGATGTAGTACCACTTGTTATGCTTGATGTAGGAGATATTGCATGTCTTGTTGTTTCAGTTGTAGGAGCTATAGTATTACTTGTTATTTCTGTTGTAAGAGTTGTAGCAGCTACACTTGGTGTTTCTGATGTAGGAGTTGTTGAATCACTTGTAGTTTCTGTTGCAGGATTTGCAGCAACTTTTGTTGTTTCTGTTGTAGGAGTTGTAGTATCACTTGCTGTTTCTCTCGTAGGCGTTGTAGTATCACTTCTTGTTTCTACTGTAGGAGTTTTTGAATAAATTGTTGTTTCCAAGGTAGTAGTTGTAGTATCCCTTGTTGTTTCCGTCGTAGGAAATGCAGTGTCGCTTGTTTCAGTTTTAGTATAAATAGCATCACTACTTGTTTCAGTTGTAGTAGTTGCTGTATCACTTGTTGTTTCTGTTCTCAGGGTTGTTATTTCACTTGTTAATTCTGTTTTCAGAGTTGTAGTATCACTTGTTGATTCTGTTGTAGAAATTAAAGTAGCACTTGTTTCTATTGTAGGAATTGAAGTAATAGTTGTTATTCCTGTTGCTGAAGATGTAGTACCACTTGTTATGCTTGATGTAGGAGATATTGCATGACTTGTTGTTTCAGTTGTAGGAGCTATAGTATTACTTGTTATTTCTGTTGTAAGAGTTGTAGCAGCTACACTTGGTGTTTCTGATGTAGGAGTTGTTGAATCACTTGTAGTTTCTGTTGCAGGATTTGCAGCAACTTTTGTTGTTTCTGTTGTAGGAGTTGTAGTATCACTTGCTGTTTCTCTCGTAGGCGTTGTAGTATCACTTCTTGTTTCTACTGTAGGAGTTTTTGAATAAATTGTTGTTTCCAAGGTAGTAGTTGTAGTATCCCTTGTTGTTTCCGTCGTAGGAAATGCAGTGTCGCTTGTTTCAGTTTTAGTATAAATAGCATCACTACTTGTTTCAGTTGTAGTAGTTGCTGTATCACTTGTTGTTTCTGTTCTCAGGGTTGTTATTTCACTTGTTAATTCTGTTTTCAGAGTTGTAGTATCACTTGTTGATTCTGTTGTAGAAATTAAAGTAGCACTTGTTTCTATTGTAGGAATTGAAGTAACAGTTGTTATTCCTGTTGCTGAAGATGTAGTACCACTTGTTATGCTTGATGTAGGAGATATTGCATGACTTGTTGTTTCAGTTGTAGGAGCTATAGTATTACTTGTTATTTCTGTTGTAAGAGTTGTAGCAGCTACACTTGGTGTTTCTGATGTAGGAGTTGTTGAATCACTTGTAGTTTCTGTTGCAGGATTTGCAGCAACTTTTGTTGTTTCTGTTGTAGGAGTTGTAGTATCACTTGCTGTTTCTCTCGTAGGCGTTGTAGTATCACTTCTTGTTTCTACTGTAGGAGTTTTTGAATAAATTGTTGTTTCCAAGGTAGTAGTTGTAGTATCCCTTGTCGTTTCCGTCGTAGGAAATGCAGTGTCGCTTGTTTCAGTTTTAGTATAAATAGCATCACTACTTGTTTCAGTTGTAGTAGTTGCTGTATCACTTGTTGTTTCTGTTCTCAGGGTTGTTATTTCACTTGTTAATTCTGTTTTCAGAGTTGTAGTATCACTTGATGATTCTGTTGTAGAAATTAAAGTAGCACTTGTTTCTGTTGTAGGAATTGAAGTAACAGTTGTTATTCCTGTTGCTGAAGATGTAGTACCACTTGTTATGCTTGATGTAGGAGATATTGCATGTCTTGTTGTTTCAGTTGTAGGAGCTATAGTATTACTTGTTATTTCTGTTGTAAGAGTTGTAGCAGCTACACTTGGTGTTTCTGATGTAGGAGTTGTTGAATCACTTGTAGTTTCTGTTGCAGGATTTGCAGCAACTTTTGTTGTTTCTGTTGTAGGAGTTGTAGTATCACTTGCTGTTTCTCTCGTAGGCGTTGTAGTATCACTTCTTGTTTCTACTGTAGGAGTTTTTGAATAAATTGTTGTTTCCAAGGTAGTAGTTGTAGTATCCCTTGTTGTTTCCGTCGTAGGAAATGCAGTGTCGCTTGTTTCAGTTTTAGTATAAATAGCATCACTACTTGTTTCAGTTGTAGTAGTTGCTGTATCACTTGTTGTTTCTGTTCTCAGGGTTGTTATTTCACTTGTTAATTCTGTTTTCAGAGTTGTAGTATCACTTGTTGATTCTGTTGTAGAAATTAAAGTAGCACTTGTTTCTATTGTAGGAATTGAAGTAACAGTTGTTATTCCTGTTGCTGAAGATGTAGTACCACTTGTTATGCTTGATGTAGGAGATATTGCATGACTTGTTGTTTCAGTTGTAGGAGCTATAGTATTACTTGTTATTTCTGTTGTAAGAGTTGTAGCAGCTACACTTGGTGTTTCTGATGTAGGAGTTGTTGAATCACTTGTAGTTTCTGTTGCAGGATTTGCAGCAACTTTTGTTGTTTCTGTTGTAGGAGTTGTAGTATCACTTGCTGTTTCTCTCGTAGGCGTTGTAGTATCACTTCTTGTTTCTACTGTAGGAGTTTTTGAATAAATTGTTGTTTCCAAGGTAGTAGTTGTAGTATCCCTTGTCGTTTCCGTCGTAGGAAATGCAGTGTCGCTTGTTTCAGTTTTAGTATAAATAGCATCACTACTTGTTTCAGTTGTAGTAGTTGCTGTATCACTTGTTGTTTCTGTTCTCAGGGTTGTTATTTCACTTGTTAATTCTGTTTTCAGAGTTGTAGTATCACTTGATGATTCTGTTGTAGAAATTAAAGTAGCACTTGTTTCTGTTGTAGGAATTGAAGTAACAGTTGTTATTCCTGTTGCTGAAGATGTAGTACCACTTGTTATGCTTGATGTAGGAGATATTGCATGTCTTGTTGTTTCAGTTGTAGGAGCTATAGTATTACTTGTTATTTCTGTTGTAAGAGTTGTAGCAGCTACACTTGGTGTTTCTGATGTAGGAGTTGTTGAATCACTTGTAGTTTCTGTTGCAGGATTTGCAGCAACTTTTGTTGTTTCTGTTGTAGGAGTTGTAGTATCACTTGCTGTTTCTCTCGTAGGCGTTGTAGTATCACTTCTTGTTTCTACTGTAGGAGTTTTTGAATAAATTGTTGTTTCCAAGGTAGTAGTTGTAGTATCCCTTGTTGTTTCCGTCGTAGGAAATGCAGTGTCGCTTGTTTCAGTTTTAGTATAAATAGCATCACTACTTGTTTCAGTTGTAGTAGTTGCTGTATCACTTGCTGTTTCTGTTCTCAGGGTTGTTATTTCACTTGTTAATTCTGTTTTCAGAGTTGTAGTATCACTTGTTGATTCTGTTGTAGAAATTAAAGTAGCACTTGTTTCTATTGTAGGAATTGAAGTAACAGTTGTTATTCCTGTTGCTGAAGATGTAGTACCACTTGTTATGCTTGATGTAGGAGATATTGCATGACTTGTTGTTTCAGTTGTAGGAGCTATAGTATTACTTGTTATTTCTGTTGTAAGAGTTGTAGCAGCTACACTTGGTGTTTCTGATGTAGGAGTTGTTGAATCACTAGTAGTTTCTGTTGCAGGATTTGCAGCAACTTTTGTTGTTTCTGTTGTAGGAGTTGTAGTATCACTTGCTGTTTCTCTCGTAGGCGTTGTAGTATCACTTCTTGTTTCTACTGTAGGAGTTTTTGAATAAATTGTTGTTTCCAAGGTAGTAGTTGTAGTATCCCTTGTCGTTTCCGTCGTAGGAAATGCAGTGTCGCTTGTTTCAGTTTTAGTATAAATAGCATCACTACTTGTTTCAGTTGTAGTAGTTGCTGCATTACTTGTTGTTTCTGTTCTCAGGGTTGTTATTTCACTTGTTAATTCTGTTTTCAGAGTTGTAGTATCACTTGTTGATTCTGTTGTAGAAATTAAAGTAGCACTTGTTTCTGTTGTAGGAATTGAAGTAACAGTTGTTATTCCTGTTGCTGAAGATGTAGTACCACTTGTTATGCTTGATGTAGGAGATATTGCATGACTTGTTGTTTCAGTTGTAGGAGCTATAGTATTACTTGTTATTTCTGTTGTAAGAGTTGTAGCAGCTACACTTGGTGTTTCTGATGTAGGAGTTGTTGAATCACTAGTAGTTTCTGTTGCAGGATTTGCAGCAACTTTTGTTGTTTCTGTTGTAGGAGTTGTAGTATCACTTGCTGTTTCTCTCGTAGGCGTTGTAGTATCACTTCTTGTATCTACTGTAGGAGTTTTTGAATAAATTGTTGTTTCCAAGGTAGTAGTTGTAGTATCCCTTGTCGTTTCCGTCGTAGGAAATGCAGTGTCGCTTGTTTCAGTTTTAGTATAAATAGCATCACTACTTGTTTCAGTTGTAGTAGTTGCTGTATCACTTGTTGTTTCTGTTCTCAGGGTTGTTATTTCACTTGTTAATTCTGTTTTCAGAGTTGTAGTATCACTTGTTGATTCTGTTGTAGAAATTAAAGTAGCACTTGTTTCTATTGTAGGAATTGAAGTAACAGTTGTTATTCCTGTTGCTGAAGATGTAGTACCACTTGTTATGCTTGATGTAGGAGATATTGCATGACTTGTTGTTTCAGTTGTAGGAGCTATAGTATTACTTGTTATTTCTGTTGTAAGAGTTGTAGCAGCTACACTTGGTGTTTCTGATGTAGGAGTTGTTGAATCACTAGTAGTTTCTGTTGCAGGATTTGCAGCAACTTTTGTTGTTTCTGTTGTAGGAGTTGTAGTATCACTTGCTGTTTCTCTCGTAGGCGTTGTAGTATCACTTCTTGTTTCTACTGTAGGAGTTTTTGAATAAATTGTTGTTTCCAAGGTAGTAGTTGTAGTATCCCTTGTCGTTTCCGTCGTAGGAAATGCAGTGTCGCTTGTTTCAGTTTTAGTATAAATAGCATCACTACTTGTTTCAGTTGTAGTAGTTGCTGTATCACTTGTTGTTTCTGTTCTCAGGGTTGTTATTTCACTTGTTAATTCTGTTTTCAGAGTTGTAGTATCACTTGTTGATTCTGTTGTAGAAATTAAAGTAGCACTTGTTTCTATTGTAGGAATTGAAGTAACAGTTGTTATTCCTGTTGCTGAAGATGTAGTACCACTTGTTATGCTTGATGTAGGAGATATTGCATGACTTGTTGTTTCAGTTGTAGGAGCTATAGTATTACTTGTTATTTCTGTTGTAAGAGTTGTAGCAGCTACACTTGGTGTTTCTGATGTAGGAGTTGTTGAATCACTAGTAGTTTCTGTTGCAGGATTTGCAGCAACTTTTGTTGTTTCTGTTGTAGGAGTTGTAGTATCACTTGCTGTTTCTCTCGTAGGCGTTGTAGTATCACTTCTTGTTTCTACTGTAGGAGTTTTTGAATAAATTGTTGTTTCCAAGGTAGTAGTTGTAGTATCCCTTGTCGTTTCCGTCGTAGGAAATGCAGTGTCGCTTGTTTCAGTTTTAGTATAAATAGCATCACTACTTGTTTCAGTTGTAGTAGTTGCTGTATCACTTGTTGTTTCTGTTCTCAGGGTTGTTATTTCACTTGTTAATTCTGTTTTCAGAGTTGTAGTATCACTTGTTGATTCTGTTGTAGAAATTAAAGTAGCACTTGTTTCTATTGTAGGAATTGAAGTAACAGTTGTTATTCCTGTTGCTGAAGATGTAGTACCACTTGTTATGCTTGATGTAGGAGATATTGCATGACTTGTTGTTTCAGTTGTAGGAGCTATAGTATTACTTGTTATTTCTGTTGTAAGAGTTGTAGCAGCTACACTTGGTGTTTCTGATGTAGGAGTTGTTGAATCACTTGTAGTTTCTGTTGCAGGATTTGCAGCAACTTTTGTTGTTTCTGTTGTAGGAGTTGTAGTATCACTTGCTGTTTCTCTCGTAGGCGTTGTAGTATCACTTCTTGTTTCTACTGTAGGAGTTTTTGAATAAATTGCTGTTTCCAAGGTAGTAGTTGTAGTATCCCTTGTCGTTTCCGTCGTAGGAAATGCAGTGTCGCTTGTTTCAGTTTTAGTATAAATAGCATCACTACTTGTTTCAGTTGTAGTAGTTGCTGTATCACTTGTTGTTTCTGTTCTCAGGGTTGTTATTTCACTTGTTAATTCTGTTTTCAGAGTTGTAGTATCACTTGTTGATTCTGTTGTAGAAATTAAAGTAGCACTTGTTTCTGTTGTAGGAATTGAAGTAACAGTTGTTATTCCTGTTGCTGAAGATGTAGTACCACTTGTTATGCTTGATGTAGGAGATATTGCATGACTTGTTGTTTCAGTTGTAGGAGCTATAGTATTACTTGTTATTTCTGTTGTAAGAGTTGTAGCAGCTACACTTGGTGTTTCTGATGTAGGAGTTGTTGAATCACTAGTAGTTTCTGTTGCAGGATTTGCAGCAACTTTTGTTGTTTCTGTTGTAGGAGTTGTAGTATCACTTGCTGTTTCTCTCGTAGGCGTTGTAGTATCACTTCTTCTTTCTACTGTAGGAGTTTTTGAATAAATTGTTGTTTCCAAGGTAGTAGTTGTAGTATCCCTTGTCGTTTCCGTCGTAGGAAATGCAGTGTCGCTTGTTTCAGTTTTAGTATAAATAGCATCACTACTTGTTTCAGTTGTAGTAGTTGCTGTATCACTTGTTGTTTCTGTTCTCAGGGTTGTTATTTCACTTGTTAATTCTGTTTTCAGAGTTGTAGTATCACTTGTTGATTCTGTTGTAGAAATTAAAGTAGCACTTGTTTCTATTGTAGGAATTGAAGTAACAGTTGTTATTCCTGTTGCTGAAGATGTAGTACCACTTGTTATGCTTGATGTAGGAGATATTGCATGACTTGTTGTTTCAGTTGTAGGAGCTATAGTATTACTTGTTATTTCTGTTGTAAGAGTTGTAGCAGCTACACTTGGTGTTTCTGATGTAGGAGTTGTTGAATCACTAGTAGTTTCTGTTGCAGGATTTGCAGCAACTTTTGTTGTTTCTGTTGTAGGAGTTGTAGTATCACTTGCTGTTTCTCTCGTAGGCGTTGTAGTATCACTTCTTGTTTCTACTGTAGGAGTTTTTGAATAAATTGTTGTTTCCAAGGTAGTAGTTGTAGTATCCCTTGTCGTTTCCGTCGTAGGAAATGCAGTGTCGCTTGTTTCAGTTTTAGTATAAATAGCATCACTACTTGTTTCAGTTGTAGTAGTTGCTGTATCACTTGTTGTTTCTGTTCTCAGGGTTGTTATTTCACTTGTTAATTCTGTTTTCAGAGTTGTAGTATCACTTGTTGATTCTGTTGTAGAAATTAAAGTAGCACTTGTTTCTATTGTAGGAATTGAAGTAACAGTTGTTATTCCTGTTGCTGAAGATGTAGTACCACTTGTTATGCTTGATGTAGGAGATATTGCATGACTTGTTGTTTCAGTTGTAGGAGCTATAGTATTACTTGTTATTTCTGTTGTAAGAGTTGTAGCAGCTACACTTGGTGTTTCTGATGTAGGAGTTGTTGAATCACTTGTAGTTTCTGTTGCAGGATTTGCAGCAACTTTTGTTGTTTCTGTTGTAGGAGTTGTAGTATCACTTGCTGTTTCTCTCGTAGGCGTTGTAGTATCACTTCTTGTTTCTACTGTAGGAGTTTTTGAATAAATTGCTGTTTCCAAGGTAGTAGTTGTAGTATCCCTTGTCGTTTCCGTCGTAGGAAATGCAGTGTCGCTTGTTTCAGTTTTAGTATAAATAGCATCACTACTTGTTTCAGTTGTAGTAGTTGCTGTATCACTTGTTGTTTCTGTTCTCAGGGTTGTTATTTCACTTGTTAATTCTGTTTTCAGAGTTGTAGTATCACTTGTTGATTCTGTTGTAGAAATTAAAGTAGCACTTGTTTCTGTTGTAGGAATTGAAGTAACAGTTGTTATTCCTGTTGCTGAAGATGTAGTACCACTTGTTATGCTTGATGTAGGAGATATTGCATGACTTGTTGTTTCAGTTGTAGGAGCTATAGTATTACTTGTTATTTCTGTTGTAAGAGTTGTAGCAGCTACACTTGGTGTTTCTGATGTAGGAGTTGTTGAATCACTTGTAGTTTCTGTTGCAGGATTTGCAGCAACTTTTGTTGTTTCTGTTGTAGGAGTTGTAGTATCACTTGCTGTTTCTCTCGTAGGCGTTGTAGTATTCCTTCTTGTTTCTACTGTAGGAGTTTTTGAATAAATTGTTGTTTCCAAGGTAGTAGTTGTAGTATCCCTTGTTGTTTCCGTCGTAGGAAATGCAGTGTCGCTTGTTTCAGTTTTAGTATAAATAGCATCACTACTTGTTTCAGTTGTAGTAGTTGCTGTATTTCTTGTTGTTTCTGTTCTCAGGGTTGTTATTTCACTTGTTAATTCTGTTTTCAGAGTTGTAGTATCACTTGATGATTCTGTTGTAGAAATTAAAGTAGCACTTGTTTCTATTGTAGGAATTGAAGTAACAGTTGTTATTCCTGTTGCTGAAGATGTAGTACCACTTGTTATGCTTGATGTAGGAGATATTGCATGTCTTGTTGTTTCAGTTGTAGGAGCTATAGTATGACTTGTTATTTCTGTTGTAAGTGTTGTAGCTTCACTTGGTGTTTCTGATGTAGGAGTTGTTGAATCACTTGTAGTTTCTGTTGCAGGATTTGCAGCAACTTTTGTTGTTTCTGTTGTAGGAGTTGTAGTATCACTTGCTGTTTCTCTCGTAGGCGTTGTAGTATCACTTCTTGTTTCTACTGTAGGAGTTTTTGAATAAATTGTTGTTTCCAAGGTAGTAGTTGTAGTATCCCTTGTTGTTTCCGTCGTAGGAAATGCAGTGTCGCTTGTTTCAGTTTTAGTATAAATAGCATCACTACTTGTTTCAGTTGTAGTAGTTGCTGTATCACTTGTTGTTTCTGTTCTCAGGGTTGTTATTTCACTTGTTAATTCTGTTTTCAGAGTTGTAGTATCACTTGTTGATTCTGTTGTAGAAATTAAAGTAGCACTTGTTTCTGTTGTAGGAATTGAAGTAACAGTTGTTATTCCTGTTGCTGAAGATGTAGTACCACTTGTTATGCTTGATGTAGGAGATATTGCATGACTTGTTGTTTCAGTTGTAGGAGCTATAGTATTACTTGTTATTTCTGTTGTAAGAGTTGTAGCAGCTACACTTGGTGTTTCTGATGTAGGAGTTGTTGAATCACTAGTAGTTTCTGTTGCAGGATTTGCAGCAACTTTTGTTGTTTCTGTTGTAGGAGTTGTAGTATCACTTGCTGTTTCTCTCGTAGGCGTTGTAGTATTCCTTCTTGTTTCTACTGTAGGAGTTTTTGAATAAATTGTTGTTTCCAAGGTAGTAGTTGTAGTATCCCTTGTTGTTTCCGTCGTAGGAAATGCAGTGTCGCTTGTTTCAGTTTTAGTATAAATAGCATCACTACTTGTTTCAGTTGTAGTAGTTGCTGTATTTCTTGTTGTTTCTGTTCTCAGGGTTGTTATTTCACTTGTTAATTCTGTTTTCAGAGTTGTAGTATCACTTGATGATTCTGTTGTAGAAATTAAAGTAGCACTTGTTTCTGTTGTAGGAATTGAAGTAACAGTTGTTATTCCTGTTGCTGAAGATGTAGTACCACTTGTTATGCTTGATGTAGGAGATATTGCATGTCTTGTTGTTTCAGTTGTAGGAGCTATAGTATTACTTGTTATTTCTGTTGTAAGAGTTGTAGCAGCTACACTTGGTGTTTCTGATGTAGGAGTTGTTGAATCACTTGTAGTTTCTGTTGCAGGATTTGCAGCAACTTTTGTTGTTTCTGTTGTAGGAGTTGTAGTATCACTTGCTGTTTCTCTCGTAGGCGTTGTAGTATTCCTTCTTGTTTCTACTGTAGGAGTTTTTGAATAAATTGTTGTTTCCAAGGTAGTAGTTGTAGTATCCCTTGTTGTTTCCGTCGTAGGAAATGCAGTGTCGCTTGTTTCAGTTTTAGTATAAATAGCATCACTACTTGTTTCAGTTGTAGTAGTTGCTGTATTTCTTGTTGTTTCTGTTCTCAGGGTTGTTATTTCACTTGTTAATTCTGTTTTCAGAGTTGTAGTATCACTTGATGATTCTGTTGTAGAAATTAAAGTAGCACTTGTTTCTATTGTAGGAATTGAAGTAACAGTTGTTATTCCTGTTGCTGAAGATGTAGTACCACTTGTTATGCTTGATGTAGGAGATATTGCATGTCTTGTTGTTTCAGTTGTAGGAGCTATAGTATGACTTGTTATTTCTGTTGTAAGAGTTGTAGCTTCACTTGGTGTTTCTGATGTAGGAGTTGTTGAATCACTTGTAGTTTCTGTTGCAGGATTTGCAGCAACTTTTGTTGTTTCTGTTGTAGGAGTTGTAGTATCACTTGCTGTTTCTCTCGTAGGCGTTGTAGTATCACTTCTTGTTTCTACTGTAGGAGTTTTTGAATAAATTGTTGTTTCCAAGGTAGTAGTTGTAGTATCCCTTGTTGTTTCCGTCGTAGGAAATGCAGTGTCGCTTGTTTCAGTTTTAGTATAAATAGCATCACTACTTGTTTCAGTTGTAGTAGTTGCTGTATTTCTTGTTATTTCTGTTCTCAGGGTTGTTATTTCACTTGTTAATTCTGTTTTCAGAGTTGTAGTATCACTTGATGATTCTGTTGTAGAAATTAAAGTAGCACTTGTTTCTATTGTAGGAATTGAAGTAACAGTTGTTATTCCTGTTGCTGAAGATGTAGTACCACTTGTTATGCTTGATGTAGGAGATATTGCATGTCTTGTTGTTTCAGTTGTAGGAGCTATAGTATTACTTGTTATTTCTGTTGTAAGAGTTGTAGCAGCTACACTTGGTGTTTCTGATGTAGGAGTTGTTGAATCACTAGTAGTTTCTGTTGCAGGATTTGCAGCAACTTTTGTTGTTTCTGTTGTAGGAGTTGTAGTATCACTTGCTGTTTCTCTCGTAGGCGTTGTAGTATTCCTTCTTGTTTCTACTGTAGGAGTTTTTGAATAAATTGTTGTTTCCAAGGTAGTAGTTGTAGTATCCCTTGTTGTTTCCGTCGTAGGAAATGCAGTGTCGCTTGTTTCAGTTTTAGTATAAATAGCATCACTACTTGTTTCAGTTGTAGTAGTTGCTGTATTTCTTGTTGTTTCTGTTCTCAGGGTTGTTATTTCACTTGTTAATTCTGTTTTCAGAGTTGTAGTATCACTTGTTGATTCTGTTGTAGAAATTAAAGTAGCACTTGTTTCTATTGTAGGAATTGAAGTAACAGTTGTTATTCCTGTTGCTGAAGATGTAGTACCACTTGTTATGCTTGATGTAGGAGATATTGCATGTCTTGTTGTTTCAGTTGTAGGAGCTATAGTATGACTTGTTATTTCTGTTGTAAGAGTTGTAGCTTCACTTGGTGTTTCTGATGTAGGAGTTGTTGAATCACTTGTAGTTTCTGTTGCAGGATTTGCAGCAACTTTTGTTGTTTCTGTTGTAGGAGTTGTAGTATCACTTGCTGTTTCTCTCGTAGGCGTTGTAGTATTCCTTCTTGTTTCTACTGTAGGAGTTTTTGAATAAATTGTTGTTTCCAAGGTAGTAGTTGTAGTATCCCTTGTTGTTTCCGTCGTAGGAAATGCAGTGTCGCTTGTTTCAGTTTTAGTATAAATAGCATCACTACTTGTTTCAGTTGTAGTAGTTGCTGTATCACTTGTTGTTTCTGTTCTCAGGGTTGTTATTTCACTTGTTAATTCTGTTTTCAGAGTTGTAGTATCACTTGTTGATTCTGTTGTAGAAATTAAAGTAGCACTTGTTTCTGTTGTAGGAATTGAAGTAACAGTTGTTATTCCTGTTGCTGAAGATGTAGTACCACTTGTTATGCTTGATGTAGGAGATATTGCATGACTTGTTGTTTCAGTTGTAGGAGCTATAGTATTACTTGTTATTTCTGTTGTAAGAGTTGTAGCAGCTACACTTGGTGTTTCTGATGTAGGAGTTGTTGAATCACTAGTAGTTTCTGTTGCAGGATTTGCAGCAACTTTTGTTGTTTCTGTTGTAGGAGTTGTAGTATCACTTGCTGTTTCTCTCGTAGGCGTTGTAGTATTCCTTCTTGTTTCTACTGTAGGAGTTTTTGAATAAATTGTTGTTTCCAAGGTAGTAGTTGTAGTATCCCTTGTTGTTTCCGTCGTAGGAAATGCAGTGTCGCTTGTTTCAGTTTTAGTATAAATAGCATCACTACTTGTTTCAGTTGTAGTAGTTGCTGTATTTCTTGTTGTTTCTGTTCTCAGGGTTGTTATTTCACTTGTTAATTCTGTTTTCAGAGTTGTAGTATCACTTGATGATTCTGTTGTAGAAATTAAAGTAGCACTTGTTTCTATTGTAGGAATTGAAGTAACAGTTGTTATTCCTGTTGCTGAAGATGTAGTACCACTTGTTATGCTTGATGTAGGAGATATTGCATGTCTTGTTGTTTCAGTTGTAGGAGCTATAGTATTACTTGTTATTTCTGTTGTAAGAGTTGTAGCTTCACTTGGTGTTTCTGATGTAGGAGTTGTTGAATCACTTGTAGTTTCTGTTGCAGGATTTGCAGCAACTTTTGTTGTTTCTGTTGTAGGAGTTGTAGTATCACTTGCTGTTTCTCTCGTAGGCGTTGTAGTATCACTTCTTGTTTCTACTGTAGGAGTTTTTGAATAAATTGTTGTTTCCAAGGTAGTAGTTGTAGTATCCCTTGTTGTTTCCGTCGTAGGAAATGCAGTGTCGCTTGTTTCAGTTTTAGTATAAATAGCATCACTACTTGTTTCAGTTGTAGTAGTTGCTGTATCACTTGTTGTTTCTGTTCTCAGGGTTGTTATTTCACTTGTTAATTCTGTTTTCAGAGTTGTAGTATCACTTGTTGATTCTGTTGTAGAAATTAAAGTAGCACTTGTTTCTATTGTAGGAATTGAAGTAACAGTTGTTATTCCTGTTGCTGAAGATGTAGTACCACTTGTTATGCTTGATGTAGGAGATATTGCATGTCTTGTTGTTTCAGTTGTAGGAGCTATAGTATTACTTGTTATTTCTGTTGTAAGAATTGTAGTATTACTTGCTTCTAATAGTGGAGTTTTTGCATCACTGGTTTCAGTTGTAGTTGTTATATTTTCACTTGCTGTTTCTGTTTTCTGGGTTGTAGTATAACTCTTTTTTATTGAAGAACTTGTTGAATAACTTGTTGTCTCTATCGTAGATGTAATAGTATCTCTTGTTTTTTCTGTTGCAGGAGTTGTAGTATCACCATTGGTTTCTTTTGTAGAAATGAGAGTATCACTTGATATTTCTTTTGTAAGAGTTGTAGTATCATTTGTTGTTTCTTTTGTAGGAGTTGCTTTCTCACGTGTTGTTTCTGTTGAAGTGTTTATAGTATTTATTGTTGGTACTGTTGTAGGGGTAGTAAAAAAACTTGCTCTTCCAGTTGAAGGATCATTTGCTGTTTCTGTTGTTGTAGTCATAGTATCACTTGTTGTTTCTGTTATAGAAATTGAAGTATCATTTCTTATGTCTGTTATGGAAGTTGTAGCATCACTAGTTTCTGTTATAGGAAATGTAGTATCGCTTATTTTTTCTGACGAAGTTTCACTTGTTGTTCCTGTTGTATGAGTTATTGTATCACTTGTCCTTTCTATTGTTGGAGTTGTAGGATCTCTTTTTGTTTCTGCTATAAGATATGAAGTACTACTTTCTGTTGTATGAGTTGAAATATCACTAGATATTTCTGATATATGAGTCATAGCGTTACTTGCTGTATGTGATTTCGATGTAGTGCAATTTGCTGTATCTGATTGAGAAGTAGCGTCACTTGCCGTACCTGATGGAGAAGAATTATCACTTGCTGTATCTAATGAAGATGTCTCACTTCCTGTATCTGATGGAGATGTGTCAAATGTATCTGAAGGAGATGATGTGGTACTTGCTGTATCTGATGGAAAAGTAGCGTCACTTGCGGAATGTGATGGAGAAGTAGTATCCCTTGCTGTATCTGATGGAGAAGTAGTGGCATTTGCTTTAACTGATGGTGAAAGAGGGTCACGTGCTGTATATGTTGGAGATGTGTTACTTGCTGTATGTGATGGAGAAGTAGTATCACTTGCTGTATCTGATGGAGAAGAAATCTCAATTGCCGTATCTGATGGATAAGTAGTATCACTTGCTGTATCAGTTGAAGAAGTAGTGACACTTACTTTAACTGATGGTGAAAGAGCGTCACTTGCTGTATATGTTTGAGATGTGGTACTTCCTGTATGTGATGGAGAAGTAGCGTCACTTGCCGTATTTATTAGAGATATTGTGTCATTTACTGTTTCTGATGGGGATGTGTCACTTGTTGTATCTGAGGGAAATGGTGTCGCCTTTGCTGTACTTGATGGAGAAGTAGCGTAACTTGCTGTATCTGATGGAAAAGTAAAGTCACTTTCCGTATCGATTTGAGATGATGTGTCACTTACTGTATCAGATGGAGATGTGTCAATTTCTGTATGTGTTGAAGATGGTGGGGCACTTGCTGTATCTGATCGAGATGCAGTGTCACTTACTGTGTCTGGTGAAAAAATAGCGTCACTTGCCGTATATATTGGAGATGTAGTGTCACTTTCCGTATCTGATGGAGAAGAAGAGTCACTTACCGTATCTGATGGAGAAGTAGCGTCACCTGCTGTTTCTGATGGAGAAGTAGTGTCTCTTGCTGTATATGATGGAGAACAAGCGTCACTTGCTCTATCTGATGGAGAAGTAGCGTCACTTGCTGTAACTGAGGGAGAAGCAGCGTCATTTGCCGTATCAGATGGAGAAGCAGCGTCTTTTGCCGTATCTGATAGAGAAGAAGCATCAATCGCTGTATCTAATGTAGATGTGTCTCTTGTCGTATCTGATAGAGATGTAGTGGCACTTGCTGTATCTACTGGAGAAGTAGCACTACTTGCTGTATCTGATGGAGAGGTTGTGTCTCTTGCTGTACCTGTAGAAGATTTTCTTATTTAAACATGTATTGATAATATATTAGTAGTTTACTTTGAATAATATAAACATTTATTGTTTAAGTTCAGAGTTGACTACCGTGTAAATTCCGATGACTGACCTTTTTCTAAAACAGGAGATAGCGATTCCTCTGTTGACTTTTTCTGCACGATACTAGTATCATGTTGCATTGTTAGATGTGCATTCAAAATTACCATTAAAAATCCCAATATAACTGAAATGAAATGAATACGTTTGAATAAGAATTCGCCATATAAGTTGGACTTAGAGTTTTTAATTTGCACTGAATGAAAACATATTTCAGCAAAATGATTTTTTTAATATTGCATTGACATTCGAGCTTCTATTTGATATGATTTTCATTTATTGTATCATATTTTCTCACGTTTATAACATTTACAACATCGTATTGATGAACAGAAATCACGGAATAAGTGTGAAAAATAAATGCAACAGTCTTGAGTTAATACATCTTGGCCTATTTAAATGTTAAGAAGCTGGAATTGATCACATATTGAGTAATACACTATTAATTTTAACTTATTTGATATAAGATCTGGAGCAGAATACTCTAACTTAAAAAAAATACTAGCAATCAGAACTCAGTTGATATTCTTGTTTCATCAAGTTATTTGTCAATAGCTTGCCTCGTTTTAGATAGAGCGTGCTCTTCTATGTCGAATCAGCTAGGAGACATAAACTCCATATGTAGGAGATAATGGTACATAAATAAGGAAAGTTGACAATAGAAAAGTCGAAGTGATCACGTGTATCATATAGTTTTGTTGTTAGGTTACCACTAACGTCTTTTTCCAGTAAAATATATATCCAAATATGAAACAGAACTTTGCGTCAAACTCTGAGGTATCTTTTATTTTGGGTTCAAAGGGATATATCGAATGAACTTATGAATGAAAATGAATATTGTTAATTGAATTGATAAAACGTCGTCGATATATCTAAATGTCGAATTGAAGGCCACAGCAAGAGATATTGAATAAATTATGCTTAATATGAATAGAAAAATAAGTCTGCTAATAACGGGGTCAGTTATTACGCATGGGAATTCCGACAGTTCCCTGATTGTTCGAAGATTTGATCTCCAAAAACGATATAAATATTGTCAATCAGAACCTCAAGCATCTTTTTAATATCAGCTTCGGAGTACTTGTGTGAACAATAAGGGTAGTTTTAACGAAATATTTTTGCAAATGACCAATGACAAAGTAAGTAAATATATGAGTTCCATTTTTTATTGAAAAAGCAGATGTCTATGATGTCAAAAAGCTTAGAGTTTAATTTATCGTGGTGAATGGTTGTATAAAGTGTTTATTGATTGTATGTTGTTTTACGTCCCATTCGAGAATTTGTCACTCATAGAGAGACGTCACCATATACCGGTGAAGGGCTTCAAATTTTGACCTTTACTCGGCACTCAGGGCCATTGAGCAGTGAGGGATCTTTATCGTGCCAACGCCTGCCGTGGCACGGGACCTCGGTTTTTAAGGTCTCATCCGAAAGACCCGCAACTTTCACTTCAAAGTGCCGAGCGCATGGCGAAGGAACAGTTGCTACCCATTTTTTATCGACCTAGGTCTGTCGCGGCCGAGATTCGCTCTACCGACTGAGCTACCGTGAACGGTATAAAATGTTGAAAAATAAGTTTTCATCTTAATGCTTATGGTAAAATTTTGTGATTTCAAATTTTTAAAAAGTTCCTATAGCTAGGAATTTTTAAGTATAGACATCTGATTTACACCACTTCTCAAATGTATTGTTGTACAGTACTCCTAAAGTTTCTCCTTCACTGCTGTTACTATTTTAGTGAGCAGTAAGGAAAAAAGGCTTGGTAGAACATTTACTGAAACCCGTTATGTATCTTTGTAAGGGTTTTTATGTAATTTAGGAATCCAGTTTAGGTATGGTAATTCAAATTCAATTTGTTTGTTGGGAAAATTAAAATATTTAAAACTGACATATGATTTTGAAGGATTTCCTCCTTAGAAAGGAAAATATAAGTTGGATTTCCATTTGCTGAACTAATCCAAGTGCCTCTAAAATATATTAAAACAAAAATCCTTACAAATAAAGACAACGTTGTCACCTGCTTTGTCAGCTTGTACCAGTATATATCATCCATGCAGGTTTGGTCACCATAGGGCTAATAGTTTCTTTAGAAAATGATACTGCTCCTAAAATCTTAACTGGGTCACTCATCCGAATAATGTAGGTCAGATCCAGCATTCAAATTAAGTCCAGTATTGTGCATCCGTAGATGAATCATTCATACAAGTTTGGTCAACATATAGCTTAAAGTTACTTGAAAATGAACCATCTCCAAAAACTTAACCTGGTCAGTCATGCGGAAAATGTTGGTCAAATCCAGCATCCGAAGCAAGCCTGGTAATGTGCACCTTAGATGTATAATCCATGCAAGTTTGGTCAATATAGGGCTTATAGTTACTTGGAAAAGAAGCCTGCTCTAAAAACTTTAACCTGCTCTAAAAATATTAACCTGGTCATTCTGAAATTGCAACATCTGAAACTTTGACTGTTTCAATGAAACATGCTAGAAGCATGGTCCATGCATCTCTGATTAATAAGAACCTCGGTTAACGTTCCTATACTTCTTACATACCTCGGACTCTTACATCCGAGGCCATTTTCTACAGGTCTGGGCGGCCTCCGTTTTTGGAGGATAGATTTTATCCTCTAAAAACAGAGGATAGACGTGTCGCCACCTACCGGACTTTTCAAAACAAAGGGCAGTTAACTCTTAACCAAAACAAATAAAAGGTAAAATTTCATATGATGAAGGATAAATCTAGATATTAAATCTGTATAACATTATTTTTGTAATTGCTGTCAATCAATTATTCTGTAAAAAGCTTAGTTATCAACTATTACTTTTACTTGTCGGAGACAATAATCATAACTAAGCTGATTTTCCGGTACCGTAATTATAAATAATATGTGTTAAGCGGTTTACAAATTTTGATAAACAATTTTTTTTTGAAAAATCAAGTTTAATTATTATTTCTTTTAATGAATAATCCTTAAACACTTTTGTAATTTTTTGTTAAATTTATATATACGTATGTGTAAAGTACATATATACCGGTAATCATGTTAATTTCTTAGTAAACATGTAAAAATTATCTTTTTGATTTACTTATGCTATTCAAATAAATTATTTATTTTATATTATTTATTTGTATTATAATTATTCATTAAATCCCTTAATTGTTTTATTTGCTTTAATTATAAGCCAGAGTATATTTTGCGCTTTAAATACATTTCCATCTGTGTTTCGTTTTTTTTTCTCTATTTTTGAATTAAAAGAAAATATGAAAGTAATATTATTTAAATCCTTATTTAATTGTATTGATATTCATTCATTCATTCATACTTTATTTCCCTCATTAGAGGATTATGTGAAGACATAAAGTTACATGTATACAATCAAGAATAAACACATAGTAAATATAGATACAAACAACAAAATAACATGCAATAAACGGCTAAACGAGCAAGGTGAAAGGGAAATAAGAAGATAAATAAATTAGTCGAATAATAAATAAATAGTATTGATATATTCACAATTTTGTAAACTAAAGGTCACTACAAATTGTGAGTATAAGTCGGTTGGCAAATTTCCTACTGGAATTAGAGGAGGGCTCGGTTGTAACACGTGGCAACATTTCGTATGTATCGAAAGTTGGTCACAGCTGTCGAAGATCTTTTCCAGATAGTGAATGAAAAGAATTACGTCCAAGAAGAAAAAGTAATATCTCGTCATCTCTCAATGCACAAATTTCTGCAGAGAGGTGGACATAAAAATAATTGGAAATGTCATATCCCACCAGCAATTACGTAAAATCCGATGTCAGCGAGCAAGAACAGGTGATGTGCATAAATATATCTACTAGAAAGATTTTGCCACAGATTCTGCAGATGTCTGGAATCTGTTCAGGAGGACTTGCTATGAGTTTACAAATAAATTTACATAACAGGATTTCATACGAGTTTGAAGGAACTGACCATACGAAACAGGGGTTCTGATTTTGGGTTGTAGACAGGAAACGGTGAAAATCACTGTCGTTTAACATTCTTTTGTTTCGCTGTGTTTTATGTTACTTAGACACTGAAGACCTTACAATCTTTTTCCAGACCTGTTTTGTTGGAAATAACCCATTTATAAGCCAGTTTTGCAGGTAAGATTATAAGTAGATAAAATTTTAATAGCAAAGGTATGAATCCATGTTGTTTGCTGGAAATGTCCTCCAAGAATGAATATAAACGTGTCAGGAAGATCTTCTTTGGGAGAGAGCGATGATCCATGCGATAAAGTCGCCTGAGAAAAAGCAGTTTACGGACGTCTATTTCCGATTTAATAGGTAGAACATTGAAAAGACTTTCACAGATATCGGATCTTGTCTTTGTAGGAAAGTTCTGAGCATTTTTACATATAAAATGTTGAAAAACATTCAGGCGTTGGTAATCAGTTGTAGAAAGGTTGTTCCATAGTTCACAACCGTAGAGGACTGTGGGCAGTACAACTGACTTATAAAGATGTGATAAGGTGAGCGGATTAAGGTAGATTGATCCAATATCGTTAAGTGCATAATATGATTTTTGCCCTTTGCGACATGCTGACAGAATTCTATCCGAAATGTTGAGTTTGTTGTTCATCCCTAGATGATTATATGTTTTGGAGCAAGGGATTATGGTGTCACCTAGTTTCCAAACGCAATCATAGTCTATTTTGGAACCTTTGCATGTGTACTCTGGTGCTTTCACTTTTTGGGTCAAGGTAGGCATGAGTTGTTTGAAATTTACCTGTGTTATCCTCTGAAATCGGAGGATAAACTATCCCACAATGCAATGCGGTTTCCTTATATGGTAAAAAATTTGGTGCCATATTGAATCTAGCTATCCTCCAAAAACGGAGGCCGCCCAGACCTGTTCTAACGAGCTCGTTCCTACTGAGGTTTGGTCGGAACATATAATGCATGAAATAAACTTTAAACAAGTAATTCTTAGGTACCTACGTATTTGCATGGGGTATAAAAGTAAAAAAAAAAATCATAACATACACTTTTATCAGTATGCATTAGTGTTCATTAATCAAAGTAGCCATTATTTCAATTTTCACCAGAAGCGCTTTCGA